GTGTGTTATATTCATTTTTTTATATGTTTTATTGATGGATGTGATTTAAAGTTAAAAATAATATATTGCTTTAAAAAATGAAAATAGTGTCATTAATATCDAGAADRATGTTASCAAATGTTAAATTTTGTTTACCATTTTTGCCCTTACTGTTGAAATAAAATAAAATTTTAATATATATATATATATATTTTTTTAATTTCCTAAAATAAAGTAAACTAATATTGGTCATTGATCAAGGAAATAGATGGATGAGATTGGTTTACACGGTTTACACAAATGGGGCAGGTTTTTATTTGAACGCTCCTATATATATATATATATATATATATATATATATATATATATACTAAAAGGGTAATCGCGCAATGCAGCGAGATACATCTTGATTTTAATATTTCATTTTATTATTTATCTCAGTCGATGTTATAGTATGTTTTATGTGATTTTGAAAAAATGATGATGTTTTTATTTTTGAATAAAATATAAATTTGAAGATATCATAAAAATTTGATAAAAATATATCGATATTAGTATCAAATTAACTATTTAAAATTCCTATTTTTTGTTTAATTTTTTAATTCATTTTTTTATTATAATTTAATTTAGGTTCAATAACGAAGTAATTTATATTTGGTTTAATAATATAATTTTCTTACTAGAAAGGTACTCGCACAATGCAGCGAGATACATTTTGAGTTTAATATTTCATTTTATTATTTATCTCAGTCGATGTTATAATATGGTCTTACGTGATTTTAAAAAAAACGATGATGTTTTTATTTTTGAATAAAATATAAATTTGACAAAAATATATTGATATTAGTATTAAATTAACTATTTAAAATTCCTCATTTTTTCTGTAACTTTTTAATTCAATTTTTTTAATCATAATTTTTAGGTTCAATAACGAATAATTTATATTTGGTTTAATAATATAATTTTCTTATAAATATAATAATTAATTATTTTGTTAGAACAAGATAATTTTTTATATTTTAAAATGAGATGTTTATCCTCTAYTTGATTATGTTTATCCGCAGTTAGTTACACGAATTCAAACATGGAGCTTTAATAAGTTGTACTTATGCATAATTTACTTGTAATCTTGAATTTTAAGTAATATACATCA